ACCGAGAAACTTAAAAATTTAAAAAAAATAATGAATCGAAGAATGGGAAAGAAGAAAAACCATTCGAATTGAAAAATTGGTAAATCCAAAAATTGTAAAATCGAAAAATTATAGAATCTTGTTGTAAAGTCCAAAAACTATGACATTCAAACACCGAAACATTGAAAAATCGGAGAATTAAAAAATTGGAAAAAATTGAAGAAACAAAAAATTGCAAAATCGATAAAACGGAAAACCGAATGGAAAACGTTTTCACGATTTTTTCACTTCGATTTTTTAAACTTTTTAATCTGTATTTCAATTTTTCGATTTTTGGAATTTTCTGTTACTCATATTTATCGATTTTTTTGAGTTTTTCGATTTTTCTGTTTATCTTTTTTTAAGTAAATATTTCAATTTTGAATTTTCCGATTTCGGCCTATTTCGATTTCTCGATCTTTTGAAGTCTCAAGTTTTCGATTTCGATTTCTTGGTTTTTCGATTTTCAAAATTTTCGATTTTTCTAGTACCTATATATTTTAAATTTTCGATTTTTTAAATTTTTCATTTTTCCCTTTTATAACCTTTTTGTTTCGATTTGCCGATTTTAATTTTTTAATGTGTTTCAATTTTTCCATTTTTGGAATTTTCGATTTCTCATATCTCAATTTTCCAATTTTAAAAATTTTTCGATTTCTCGATTTTTAAGTTTTCGCTATCTCAATTTTAAACATCGCAATTTTGGGAATTTTTCAATTTCTATATTTTTCAGATTTTCGATATTTTCATTTTCCCGATTTTGTAATTTCCATTTTCTTGATTTTATATCACAATTTTTCATTTTACCATTATCTTTATTTTTTCAATGTTTCTTTGGATTTTATAATTTTTTGTTTATTCAATTTTTTACATTTTCAATCTTTGATTTTTTAAGTTCTTGATTTCCAATTTTTTTATATTTCGAAGCTTCCATTTTGTACTTTTTCAGTTTTCCAATTTTTCTATTTTATAATTTTTCGATTTTGTTTATTCGAAAAGTTAAAAACTCGAAAAAATGAAAAACTGAAACAATGAAAAACTAAAAACCGAGAAACTTAAAAATCTAAAAAAAAAAATAATGAATCGAAGAATGGGAACGAAGAAAAGCCATTCGAATTGAAAAATTGGAAAATCCAAAAATTGTAAAATCGAAAAATTATAGAATCTTGAAAATTGTAAAGTCTAAAAACTGTGACATTCAGACACCGAAAAATCGAAAAATTCCAAAAACGAAAAACTGAAAAATTGAATAACTTTAAAAATTATAATTATTAGGAGTGTTACATAATTAAAATGAAAACTAGAAAAACTGCAAATGAAAAATTGAAAAAACGGAAAATTGAAAGCAGAAAATTGAAAAAATAAAGAAAATTAAAAACCCACAGGAAAAATTGCAAATCGAAAAATTTGCGAAATTAAAAACCGTAAACTCGTGAAATTTGCAAACTCTAAAATTTGAAACATCTAAAAGTTGGAAAATCAAAAATTGAAAAATCGAGAAATCGAAAATTTTCAAAAATTGAAAGATTGAAAAATCGAAATTTTGGAAAATCGAAAAACCGAGAAATTCAATCTGAAAAAAGAATTCAAGATGTCGAAAAATCTAAATATCTAAAATTACAATATGGAAAAATTTAACATTAAAAAAAAACACAAAATCAAAGAGTCGAAAAATCGAGAAATTGAGAAATGGAAAAATAAAAATTTAGAAAAACCAAAAATTGAAAAGCATAAAAAAAATTAAAATCGGGTATTCGGAACGTAAAAAAAATAAAATCGAAAAATTGAAAAATTTTAAATTTACAAATTCGAAAACTTGAAAAACTGAAAAACTGAAGAAACGAAAAACCAAAAAATCGACAAATTGAAAAATCTCAAAACTGAAAAGTCGAAAAATTGAAAAACCCAAAAATCGATTTGCGGTAAATCGAAAAATCAAAATTTAAAAAGTTGAAAAATGAAAATATCAAAAAACTGAAAAATATAGACATTCTCAAAATTGAAATGTTGAAAAATTGAGAAATCGAAAACTTGAAAAATCCAGAATCGAAAAAAGAACGAAAAGTAAATACATTTTAAAATCGAAAAAACGAAAAATCGAGATGTAAGAAATCGAAAATTCCAAAATCGAAAAATTGGAAAAAGGTTAAAATCGGGAGATCGAAGCATAACAAAACATAAAATCGAAAAATGGAGAATTTTAAAAATCTAAAAACTTGAAGAAATGAAAAATTGAAAAATCGAAAAGCCGAGAAATCGAAATTAAAAAATTGAGACATCAAAAGATCCGAGAAATGGAGAAATCGAAAAACAGGAAAATTTAAAACTGAAATACATATTTAAACTTAAAAAAAACGATAAATCAAAATATTCAAAAGTCGAAAAATCAGAAATTTTTAAAATCGAAAGATCGAGAAATCGATATATCAAAAAAGTGAAAAATTATAAATTAAAAAATTGGAGATATTGAAAAATCCCAAAATTGGAACAACGAAAACTTGAGAAATCGAAAAACTGAAAAATCGATAAATTGGAAAGGGGAAAAATCGAAAAATCAAAGAATTGATTAATAGAAAAATTGAGAAATGTATTTTTTTTTTGAATTGCAAAAATTGTAAAACTGAAATATCGAAAAATTAAGTAAACTAAAAATCGAGAAATCAAGAAATCGAAAAATTGTAATTCAATTTTGTTTTATTTTTCCACAAAAATTTCGATGTCGAAGATAAAAATTCAACACGGATTCATAGACCATAAGTACACTGTTACTTTTTTTTAATTTATATAACATTTATTTGACAAAATTGTAGAACTGAAGAAACGAAAAATAGAAACATTGAAAAACTAGAAATCGAGAAAAAATTAATGAATCAAAGAACGAATTAAATCGAAAAATGTTCGTAAAGTCCAAAAACTAACATTCAAAGATCGAAAAATTAAAAAATTCCAAAAACGAAAAATTGAAAAAGTGAACAACTCTAATGAAAATTATAATTATTATTACATATCTAAAATGAAAATTAGAAAACCTGCAAATCAAAAATTGAAGAAACGAAAAATTGAGAAATGGAAAAATGAAAATTTAGAAAAACCAAAAATTGAAAAGCATAAAAAAATTAAAATCGGGTATTCGGAACGTAAAAAAAATAAAATCGAAAAATTGAAAAATTTTAAATTTAAAAATTCGAAAACTTGAAAAACCGAAAAACTGAAGAAATGAAAAACCAAAAAATCGACAAATTGAAAAATCTCAAAACTGAAAAGTCGAAAAATTGAAAAACCCAAAAATCGATTTCCGGTAAGTCGAAAAATCAAAATTTAAAAAGTTGAAAAATGAAAATATCAAAAAACTGAAAAATATAGACATTCTCAAAATTGAAATGTTGAAAAATTGAGAAAGCGAAAAACTGAAAAATCCAGAATCGAAAAAAGAACGAAAAGTAAAAACATTTTAAAATCGAAAAAACGAAAAATCGAGATGTAAGAAATCGAAAATTCCAAAATCGAAAAATTGGAATACACGTTAAAAAGGTTAAAATCGGGAGATCGAAGCATAACAAAACATAAAATCGAAAAATGGAAAATTTTAAAAATCTAAAAACTTCAAGAAATAAAAAATTGAAAAATGGAAAAGCCGAGAAATCGAAATTAAAAAATTGAGACATCAAAAGATCCGAGAAATGGAGAAATCGAAAAACCGGAAAATTTAAAACTAAATACATATTTAAACTTAAAAAAAAACGATAAATCAAAATATTCAAAATTCGAAAAATCGATATATCAAAAAAGTGAAAAATTTTAAATTAAAAAATTGGAGATATTGAAAAATCCCAAAATTGGAACAACGAAAACTTGAGAAATCGAAAAACTGAAAAATCGATAAATTGGAAAGAGGAAAAATCGAAAAATCAAAGAATTGATTAATAGAGAAATTGAGAAATGTAAAAATGATTTTTTTTTAAATTGCAAAAATTGTAAAACTGAAATATCGAAAAATTAAGTAAACTAAAAATCGAGAAATCAAGAAATCGAAAAATTGTAATTCAATTTTGTTTTATTTTTCCACAAAAATTTCGATGTCGAAGATAAAAATTCAACACGGATTCATAGACCATAGGTACACTGTTACTTTTTTTTTAATTTATATAACATTTATTTGACAAAATTGTAGAACTGAAGAAACGAAAAATAGAAACATTGAAAAACTAGAAATCGAGAAAAAATTAATGAATCAAAGAACGAATTAAATCGAAAAATGTTCGTAAAGTCCAAAAACTAACATTCAAAGATCGAAAAATTGAAAAAGTGAACAACTCTAATAAAAATTATAATTATTATTACATATCTAAAACGAAAATTAGAAAACCTGCAAATCAAAAATTGAAGAAACGAAAAATTGGTTATTAATCACCTTTATTAACAAACTTGTTAGTTAAATAGCTATTAATTTACCTGATCTCATTTTCAATCTCAATGAAAACCCCTTCTTTAAAAATTGCACATTTTAAAAAAATGCGGGGTGCTATTTACGCCACTGGACAAACCTACCCCCATGAAAAATAAAACCGCACAACCCCACCGACACCACCATTTCAAAAATAGAACCGTAATCAACAATGAATCACATGCGGCCATTCGGGACGAACGTAAATAAAACTCAAAGCGACACGAGACAGACTTTTACGGCCTTTTTATTCGGCCGAGCCGCCGACTGGAAAACCGCCGCCCACAAGCTCTGCGACGATTCGAACTACAAAAATGCAAATTCGCATCTGAAAGCAATTTCCGTCGGCAAATAATAACCGAGTATGGCGGGTCACGTTTCGGTTTCAGCGTAATTATCCGGGTCCGCACTGCCAACTTAAAGAGGTAAAAGCAACAAGTAGCCCGGACTTTCGCAAAAAACTTAATATCAAATGCACCGCCGGTGCTCCCCCGGGCTTTTAATATTCCCGGCTTAAATATGAAATTATTGTTTGCAGGGGAGTCATATCGCACTTCGAATGGACGCATGAGGCTGCGGAGGTCGGATATCAGCAATATAGAGAGGGCGAGGAGCAGAACGTTGAGGATGACTGTCACCATCGTGGCGGTCTACGTGTGGTGCTGCACTCCCTACGTGATCATCACAATGTGGTGAGTAGGCCGCGACTGACGTCACTGATTTATCGCACGGGATAAAAACGGCGAAATTAGATATTCGTCTGAGTGATTTTATTACACCGCTCCTTGCTACTGTCGCTCGGAAGTAAAAATAAAATTCCTCTCGGGTGTGTGTCGCTGGAAGGTGGAAGAGTTGAGGATTTTTTTGGGGCGAAATATGCGGAAAATGAGTAAAGAGCTATTTAAAATATGCCGGGCTCGTTCTCGATATTTTGCGAACGTACGCTGCCAGAAAATTCAATTTGAGTAATTTAGGTGCTATGACAAACATTTGTGAAGGTAGGCGGCTTTTTCATAAATTCGTCATTAAGAGAGTCCTAAATTACGAGAAAAAATTAATTAATTTTAATCCAGAAATTTTCTTAAATAAATAAGGCAGCTAATCAGAGGATATTGAGAATTGTGCCTGCCTTGTACTCCCCGGCTCGAGTAAATCGAGTATTGATCTGAAAAGCTCTTGTCCGTGTCGTTAAAAATAATGAAATTTTTTACGAATATCTTTTTTATTTCGTCGGTAAACACAAACGGTTCAAGGTTCAACCTAGATACTATCTTTTTTCTTCTCGAGCGTACGCTAAGGAAGCGTTGTAATCAAGTCCATCGGATGAGTCCCTAATGTTATGTTTTGTCGACCTTTCATGACCCCTAGAGTGCGAAGAAATAGGTCTGCCGTTTCCGTCTGCCTGTCCGTCTGGACGGATCGTTGTAAAACGCCAACAAAAAATGAAAATATATTACTGTTATTATTAGTAATGGAAAAACTCATTTTTTACCTTCGACCAATTTTTAAATTTTTTCATAATTTTCCGTTCTTTCAAGTTAAATTTTTTTCAGTTCTTGATTTTTATTTTTCCTTTTCCCGATTTTTTAACTTCATTTCCTCGATTGTATATCACAGTTTTTCGCTAATTAAATAAATTAGTTTTTTTTGATGAAAAGTCAAAAATCGAGAAAATAAAATTAAAATCTAGAACATGAAAATTAAAAATCGAAAAATTACAAAATTCTGGATTTAAAAATTAAAAAAATTGATTTTGAATTTTTAAAGATCCGTCATTATTTCGATTTTACGATTTCTCACTTTTTAAATTTTTCTCCATTTTTTCCATTTTTTAGTTTATTCTTCAATTTTTGAATTTTTCCATTTTTCGATCTTATAATTTTTCGAGTTTTCAACTTTTCGATTTTACAAGTTTTCGTTTTTGTTTATTCTCAATTTTTAAGTTTTAATTATCCGAGTTTTCAATTTCTACCATATTTTTTCTGTTTTCCGTTTTTTCAAATTTTGAATTTTCAATTTTAAATTTTCCCTTTTTCGACTTTTCAATTGTAATTCTTTAAAATTTTTCGATTTTCACGGTTTCCTTTTTTCAATGTTGCGATTTTTCAAATTTTCAAATTTTTTAACGAAAAGTCAAAATTCGAAAAATGAAAATTAAAATCTAGAACCTGAAAAATTAAAAATCGTAAAATTACACAACTTTGGATTGAAAAAATTAACAAATCGATTTTGAATTCCTAAAGATCCTTCAGTTTCTCGATTTTAACTTTTAAATTTTTCGATTGTACAGTTTTTGATTTGCAATTTTTCAATTTTATTTGTTAGATTTTTCAGTTTTTAATTTTTTGATTTTAAAATTTTAGAATTTTAGTTTTTCTATTTGCAATTTTTGGCTTCCAATTTTTCGATTTTACAAGTTTTCGTTTTTTTTTAATAAATTAGTTTTTTTTTAAATTAAAATCTAGAACTTGAAAAATTAAAAATCGTAAAGTTACAAAATTGTAAATTAAAAAAAATTAAAATTGAAAAATTAATGTTCGAAAAATTGTAAAATCGTAAAAATGGAAAAAACGAAATATTTAAAAACCCAAAATTTTGAACAGTAAAAAGTTGAAAAATTGAAAAATAAAAAAATTTAAATTGAAAACTCGAAAAATTGCAATCAAAAAATTGTAACAGAAAAAACAAAAAATCAAAAAATAGAATAACTGAAATTGTAAAATTACAAAATTCAAAAATCGGTGCCAATTAAAAAAATGCTCAGGCAATATAATTGAAATATAAAAACAAAATATCTAGTGGAAAAATTAAAGTTGAAAAATTGCAAAATTTTAAAATTTAAAAATCGAAAAATTAAAAAAATTAAAATTGAAAAATCAGAAAATTGAAAAATGCCAAATCAAAAGCTTATAGAAACAGTAAAAAATCTAAAATCGCAAAATTGTAAATGCAAATCAAATAAATGAATAGAGAAAAAATAGAAAATTGAAAAGTTGAAAAAATGAAAAATCCTAAAATTGTAAAACTGAAAAAACAAAAAATTGAAAAATCAAAAAATTGCATATCAAAAATTGAATAAATGAAAGATTGCAAAAAAAAAATCGAAAAATGGAATAATTGAAAAACTGTGATATAAAAATGAACAATTTTCCAAAATTCAAAAATCGGTTCCAATAATTATAAAAATAATAACATCACACAGTACAAATATTAAAACAAGAAAATTAAAAATCGAAAAGCTGAAAAACTAAAAAATCAAGAACCGCAAAAAGATAAAATTGAAAAAATATGAAAGCTTGAAACATTAAAACACTGTAAAATGAAAAATTCAAGAGATGTAAAAATGAAAACTAGCAAAATTGTGAAATTAAAAAAGTGTAAATTAAAAATTCGTAAGAACCAAAACCCAAAAAAATCTGAAAATCGGAAAACTGAAAAATGCAAATCGAAAAAGTGACTAAATAGAAAATTGAAAATAAGAAAAACTGCAACTTTGTAAAATTGAAGGAAGAAAAAATTAATCGAATTCAAAAATTACAGAATCGTCAAAATTGTAAAACTGAAATATCGAAAAATTAAAAAATTAAATATCGAGAAATTGAAAATTTTCACATTGAAAAAAACAAAAATTGAACATTGAAAAACCGAGAAATTTAAACAATAAGAAAAAACCTAAACGAAAAATTGTGAATCGGGAAACATGAGAAACGAAAAATTGCAAAATCTAAAAACTGAAAAATCCAAGTCAGGAAATTGAAAATCTGAAAAATTTAGAAATGAACAAACGAAAATTTTAATCAAAAAATTGAAGACGCAAAAATGAAAAGTTGAAAAATAGAAATCGAAAAATTTGAGAAACGAAAAATTGAAAAATTAAAAATGAAAAAGTTGAAAAATCTTATAAATGAAAAACTTTTATTCTAAAATCGCAAAATTGAAAAAGTGAAAATTCTTTAAAAACAATTATTATTACATATTTAAAATTAAAACTAGAAAAATTTCAAATCAAAAATTGAAGGAACGAAAAATTGAAAAATCGAAGAAGTGAAGAAACAAAAAATCGAAAGATGAATAAATGAATAGAAAAATTGTAAATAAGAAAAAATGAATCAAATCGACAAATTACAGAATCGTAAAAATTGTAAAATTTGTAAAGTCGAAAAATTATAAAATTGAAAGATCGAAAAATTAAAAAATTAAATATCCAGAAATTGAAAAATTTCACATTGAAAAAAAAGAAAAATAAAAATCAGAACATTGAAAATTAGAAATTTAAAAAATAAAAAACCAGAAACGAAAAATTGCGAATCGAAAGAGAAATGAAAAACTGAAAGATACAAAATTTGGGAAATCGAAAAACTGAAAAATTTTAAAATAAAAAATCGAAAAATTTTTAATCTGACAATTCAAAAAGCAAAAATGAAAAGTTGAAAAATCGCAAATCGAAAAATTGGAGAAACGGAAAATAAAAAAATTAAAAACCGAAAAGTTGAAAAATCCTATAAATGAAGAATTTTTATTCTAAAATCGTAAAATTGTATAAGTGAAAATTCTTTAAAAATATATATTTTTTTTGCAAATAAAAATTGAAGAAACGAAAAACTGAAAAATCGTGAAATTGAAAAATCTAAAATTGGAAAAATCGAAAAATTGGAAATCGAAAAATTGCAATTCAAAGAAGTGAAGCAACGAAAAATCACAACATGAGTGAAATTGATTAGAAAAATTGGAAAGAAGAAAAAATGAATCGAATCCAAAAAATTGTATAATCGTAAAATTGTAACATTGGAAGATCGAAAAATTAAAAAATTAAATATAGAAAAATTGATAATAATAATAATAATAATAATAATAATAATAATATATTTATTTATCCAGCAGACTAATATATAGTCCATAGTGGATACAACCACAGGAACAATATTAAATTTACAATAAACACATAAACAATATTAAATTTACAATAAATACATAATGCTCACAACATTGGTACACTTACACATGATTCAATTCCAACAATTGTTTCCTTACATTAGCTTTACTAAAATTATGAAAAAATATATCTAGACGACCATCACAAACAGAATTATATAAGCGAAAAGCATATATCAATGGACAGTTATAATGATGAAAAGTATTGGGTATAGCAAAATAAAATAACTTTGGACATCGGCTAATTTGTCTTGGGATGTTGAATTTGATTTCATGGAGAAGCTCCTGACAACATATCTGACCTAAAGTGAGTTTTTGTAGAAAAATTAAACTAGCTGCATTTCTTCTTCTTATTAAAGATTGTTCATTGACAATAGACAATAAGCTAGATTGATCACAATGTCTGCTTGGATACCTATTATACATTTTTAAAAATAAATACTTTGCAAATTTGCGCAAGACATTCTCTAACAAGTCAATATATTTTTGGTAATACGGCTTCCATACAATGCAACAATATTCCATTCTTGACCTTACTAAAGCATAAAAAAGTATTTTGATACATTGTATGTTAACAAAATCCATGGTGTTACGACGAATAAATCCTAGCTGTTGCATAGCAGTCTTGGTGACATGCAGGATGTGTGGGGCAAATGACAAACTACAGTCCATAACAACACCTAAATCAGATATCTGTTGACAATTCTCAAGTACATTGATGAATTTCACTTTGAAAAAAAGAAAAATAAAAATCAGAACTTTGAGAAACCGAAAAATTTTAGAAAATAAAGAAAAAACCCGAAACGAAAAATTGCAAATCGGAAAACTTAAGAAATGAAAAATTGGAAAATCGAAAAATTGAAAAATTTAAACTCGTAAAATTACAAATCTAAAAATTGAAAGATCCAAAAGTTAGGAAATCGAAAAACTGAAAAATGTTAATATGAGAAATTTTTAATCAAAAAATTGAAAACTTGAAAATCGAAAAATTGAAAAATCGTATTAATGAAAAACTTTTATTCTAAAATCGTAAAATTGAAAACCGAAAAATTGCAAATTGAAAATTGGAAGTCGAAGAATTGAAGAAACGAAAAATCGGAACATGAATGAAAATAAATAGAAAAATTGGAAAGAATCGTCAAGATTGGAAAATCGAAAACTGTAAAATTGAAAGATCGAACAATTAAAAAATTAAATATCGAGAAATTGAACAATTTCATATTGAAAAAAAGAAATATTAAAAGCAGAACATTGAAAAACCAAGAAATTTAAAAACTGAAGAAAAAACCTGAAACGAAAAATTTTAAAATGAAAAATCGAGAAATTTTTAATCCAGAAATTGAAGTAGCAAAAATGAAAAGTTGAACTAAATCGCAAATCGAAAAATTGAAAAATCGTATAAATAAAAAACTTTTGTCTTAAAATCGTAAAATAATAATAATAATACTTGTGGCTTGACTTCGCCTATTATTATTTAATAAAGTCTTAAATCTTTAAAAATGTCTTCGCCTATTATTATTTAATAAAGTGCTATTACTATTATTATTATTATTAAAATTGAAAAGTGACAAATCTTTAAAATTGTAATTATTATTACAAATTTAAAATGAAAATCGACACATGAATGAAAATGAATAAAAAAAGGAAAGAAGAAAAAATGAATCGAATCGAAAAATTACAGAATCGTCAAAATTGCAGTCGAAATATTGAAAAATTGAAGGATCGAAAAATTAAAAAATTAAATATCTAGAAATTGAAAATTTTTACATTGAAAAAAGAAAAATCGAAAAATTGGATCGCAAAACTTAAATAAAAATTATAAAATCGAATTACTAAAAATCGATTTAATGAAAAATTAAAAATTGAAAACTCGAAAAATTACATATCGTAAGACTGAAAAAACAAAAATTTGAAATCGGAAAACCAAAATTTATAAAATCGGAACTATGCAAAATCGAAATGAAAAAACGAAAAATTGGAAGATTGAAAAACTAGAAATCGTTAAATTTGAAAATCAAAAAAACCAATCCTATCGAAAAATTGAAAAATTAAATATTGCAAAATTAGAAAATGAAATAAATGAAAAAAATTTAAAGTTATTAAATTTAAAATGAAAACTGGAAAAATTTCTGGAAAAACGAAAAATTGAAATATCCAAAAATTGAAAAATTTGACTTTGAAAAAAAGAAAAATTATAAAATCAAAACATCGAAAAACCTGCAAATTGAAGGAACCAATAATTGAAACAATCGAAGTAGAAAAAACAAAAAATGATAAAATCGGAACATTGAAAAATTTAAAACTGTAAACATTAAGAAAATAAAAAATTGAAGAACCGAAAAATCGAAAAATTCAAAGTCAAATAAATGAAAAAGTTATAAAATGCAATAATTGAAAAATGAAAAATTCTAAAACTGTAAAATTGAAAAAATGAAGTATGTACTTACATGTTTTAAAAATTATTATTGATCTTTATTGATCTTTATTGATCTTTATTGATCATTGATCATTCTACAGGTAAAAACCCAGTTACAGAGATCAAAGTATAAAAAAAAAAGTGTAAGATCCTTAGAACCCAAAAAAATAAAAAAATAAAGACAATAAAAAGTCGGAACGAAATGAAAAATTGAAAACTCATGAAACTCCGAAACGAAAAATTGCAAAATCAAAAATTAAAACATCCAAAAATTGGAAAAAGAAAAACTGAAAAATTTAAAAATGAAAAATTGCAAATCGGAAAATTGAAGAAACGATAAAGTGAAAAAATTGAAATTGAAAAAACAAAAAAATAATAAAATTAGAACATTTAAAAGCCGGGAAATTTAAAAAATGAAGGGAAAAAAACTGAAATGAAAAATTTTGAATCGGAAAATTGAAAAATTGAAAACTCGTCAAATTGCAAATCAAAAAAGATCCAAAAGCCAGGAAATGGAAAAACTGAAAAATTTTAAAATAAAAAATCGAGAAATTATTAATCCAATAATTGAAGAAGCAAAAATGAAAAGTCGAAAAATCTCAAATCGAAAAATTAGAGAAACGAAAAATTAAAAAATTAAAATTCGAAAAATTGCAAAATTTAAACTCATGAAACTGCAAATAAAAAAATTGAAAAATCTAAAAACTGAAAGATCCAAAAGTTGAAAAATCGAAAAACTGAAAAATTTAAAAAGTAAAGATCGAGGGATTTTTAATCTAAAAATTGAAGAAGCAAAAATGAAAAGTTGAAAAATCGCAAATCGAAAAACTGAAATATCCAAAAACTGGGAAATCTAAAAAAGTTGTATGTCGTAAAATTGAAGAAACAGAAAAAATCAAAAACAAAAATTATTGAAACATCTAAAAATTATAAAATCGAAAAAAGCAAACCAAAAAGATAAAGATTCGACAAATTGAAAAAACAAAAAATTGAAGAAACAAACAATGGAAACTCGAAAAATTGAAAAATCAAAAACATTGAAGAAATAAAAAATTTAAGAATCGAAAAAATGAATAATTTTAAAATAAAAACTCGAAGATTTGGATGTAGTAAATTTAAAAAACAAAAAAGTGAAAGATTGAAAAATTGCAAAATCGCAAAATTGAAAAATTAAAAATCGAAAAATTGAAAAATCATACAGATGAACGACTTTTATTCTAAAATGGTAAAATTGAATAAGTGAAAATTCTTTAAAAATATAATTATTATTATATATTTAAAATGAAAACCAGAAAAAGTGCAAATTGAAAAATTGAAAGTCGAAGAATTGAAGAAATGAAAAATCGGAACATGAATGAAAATAAATAGAAAAATTGGAAAGAATCGTCAAGATTGGAAAATCGAAAATTGTAAAATTGAAAGATCGAACAATTAAAAAATTAAATATCGAGAAATTGAACAATTTCATATTGAAAAAAAAAAATAATATTAAAAGCAGAACATTGAAAAACCAAGAAATTTAAAAACTAAACAAAAAACCTGAAAATTTAAAACTCCTGAAATTACAAACGTAAAAACTGAAAGATTCAAAAGTTAGGAAATCGAAAAACTGAAAAATTTTAAAATGAAAAATCGAGAAATTTTTAATCTAGAAATTGAAGTAACAAAAATGAAAATGAAAAATTGGAAAATCGTATAAATGAAAAACGTTACATATTTAAAATGTAAATTAAAAAAATTGAAAATCAAGAATTGAAGAAACGAAAAATTGAAAACCAAAAAATCAGTTTTTCGACTGAAAAAATTTTAAATGAAAACACGAAGAGTTGCATATCCTAAAATTTAAGAAACAAAAAAAAATGAAAAATTGAAATATACCACATCGAAAAATTGAAGAAACACAAAATTGAAAAGATTAAAATATAAAAAACTCAAGAACCCCAAATCGGAAAATTACAAATCGAAAAACTGAATAAACAAAAAAAAATGAAAAATTGAAGAATTGAAAACTTCTAGTCAGCGTTATTTACGCCATTGGTTTTTACTTTATAGGAATTATCAGAAAACAAAAATCACAAAAATAGTTTATGACTTTTCAAAGAAGCGGAATTTGTTGCGCTGAACTTCAAAGGCGGGGGAAGTTCTGTTGAAATAACCCTCAGCCAATTTTTTATTATTATTACGCAAAATTACGTACTCGTCCATAATCCTAAGCCATGAACACTCATTTTTATATTCTTAACCCAGAAACTCCGACATCTCATCGCCTCCGACCCCCTTATCCCATAATAAAACACCCCTAAACGAAATTATGTCCTCTTTGTAACACAAACTTCACTAACTCGACTAACCCCGAAAAGAAATACTTCTTATTTCGAACGAACCCACTAAGCCCTTACTTATGCAACTCCCTCCCATAATTTATATTATGTTTCTCATCTAAACTTTAAAATAACTCATTTCCGGCCGTAATATTTCGGTTATGCAGATGACCCGGAAGCGACGCAATATGTTCACCCTTATCACTTTAAGTTCAACCCTTATAAATTGGAAATGGGCCACAACGTCCCAACGAGACGCGTGTCCTTTATCGCCCCTCTTAAAAACGCATTCATTTAAACAACAATTTAATTTACGACCGATGAATTATTCAAGGCACAAAAATTTCCCCGCTGAAAAAAGTTCAGAAAAAGATTAATTATCCGTAAAGAAGCTGTTTCTGTGGAAACCTGATGTTCGACCGACGCGGGGGCGAGTGTGCCCGCAGAATTTTTGATAACACGTTTCATTCATAACGTAATTTAAAAATCTGTTCGCGATGGGAAAGTTTTAAACCCGACATGAGTGCATCAGGTTTTCCATTTTTGTTTAACGAACGAAAGCTCAGTCCGTTAGACGACTGATACTTTTCTGTTTTTTCAACTTTTTTATTTAACTGTAGCATTCAGCTTGATTACCCGACACTCCACTAAAAAGCCCTTCAGCAACTCCGCCTGAAAATCGAGAACCGAGAACTCCGCCCCAGGAAGTCGAGCTCATTTTCAAGCACGCAAACTATTTTCAGGTACATGTTCGATCGAGATAGCGCCCAGAAGCTGCCGTCGTGGCTCCAAGACACATTTTTCATGATGGTGGTTTCCAACAGCTGCATGAACCCCATAGTTTATGGAAGTTTTGTGATAAACTTCCGGCGAGTGAACTGCAAGTGCCTGTGCTTCGGAAAGTCCAGCAGCGAAAACAACCTCAACAGTGAGTATGCTTGCAGGAGAATGCTTTGTAGATAAAAATTCTTTCTTCGACGCGGTTTGGCGCTTCGTGGGGTCGCAAGGACGGTGTCGAGGCGGATTACGGCCGGGTTTTTAGGTTTTACAACGAAAGGGTGTGATTTACAGATTTGTGTTCCGGCCGGGACGTAAGCTAGGGTTCTTAAAGTCTTGTGAACATAATTTAATAAGCGCGATTCTGCGAAATAAAACTAACACGTTTAAATTGGTTTTACGACGGTATTGACTGGTTCGGTGAACAAAAAAGGGTAAAAGCTGACGCTTTTTGGATTTTCAATTTTCAGTTGTTTGGTATAAGAAAAGCGTGCCACGCCCAATAAATTTGACGAGCTTTCGTTTTATCCAAAACACCACTGGACGTGGAAATTATCAAACTTGGTGATTACCAAAGTTCACTTAATAAATAATGTTCCTCACAAACTGCTTAATCTTAATTATCGTTAATCGTGATTACCACGACTGACTGACGTACGAACGTGAGTGGAATATTTTAATCACAAGGAGTTTTTTTTTCAAAGCAATTCTAAATTGGCGTTCAAGCAATTGAGACAGCTGGTAAAAAATGCTTTCAAGGAGATGGAAAAAAAAATACAAAAAAACTTCATCTACTGAACGAAATTATTCTTCCTTACATATGATTCGTTGTTCTTAGTAACCCAGATGACAGATTTTTATAGATATTTCTCAAGGGCATTTTTATAACGTCATTGTGGTAATAAAGATTTTCTTTTTTCAGCTTTCTGGTGCGGTAAAATCTCGTTAAATAAATTTTTAATCAGATTATGCAACGGTATTAAAGTGCCTACTAAGAACAGACTGATTTTGGCAAATGATATATTCTTTGAGAAAGGAGAGGGCGGGTGGGTGGGGCTAGCACATGTTAAGGTAAGACTGATGTTAGCAAATGACGTATCCTTTAACACTCGCAAATTTTTTCCAAACAGAAATACCTAGAACCTCAAGATTGTTTTAAATTTTTCATTTTGTATTTTTTTATAACAATAGTAATATATAATTAAGGAACAAATTAGAGTAAATTTAAACTTTGGAACCTCATTTGACACTGCAGTCTCACAGTAAATTTTGTCTTTTTTGGTATTCACAAAGGACAAAATTCACCTAGGCACTGTAGGGAAAATGAGGTTGTAAAGTTTAAATTTAGTCTAATTTGTTGTCTAGAAAAAACTCTCATTGTGAAACGTACTGAAACATTCCTGTAAAGCAGTTAACTGAAATTTAATCTGTTCATAAAATGGCATCGTTCATTTATTATCTACGGTTTATTTGTTTATTAATGTGACCATAAAATGTTCCAGCTGGGTCACATTTTTTTTTTTACTAAACCTTCATACAATGATTTACCGAATTCTCTTTAGTTTTCATTACAATTTATTACTTTTAATATTATTATTTTTTTTATGTGTCAATTCAAGTGTCAGTTTAATTGTTTGTGTCATCGGCATGCATTTTTTCTTAAGAGAAAAAAATTTAAATTAACTTTCTCCATTAAACTTTCTTGTTTTTCGTTTTTTTTTTTTATAAAAAATGTTCTCGTTGAAATGACATCGCTCCCTGGAGAATGGCAGCAGTCTTACAGGTTCGTGGGAGATACTTATACCCGTTATTGACGTCCTTAAACAGTGTGTTAATGATCATTGGTTATGCTTTGTTGGAAAGTGTAATTTTTCTCAGCTTTGTTTGATTCTTGAATTTTTATCATTTTCTATTAAAATAATCTATTTTGTGGTTCTTTTTGGATAAAAATATTACAATAAACGTTGCATAACAACATCAAAGTACCTATTGCAACCGAAATCGTACTTTATTTTGCACATTTTCTGATCTTAAAAAAAAATACGCCCGTTTTTCGTGTCGGCGAGGAATGTAGACCGGACAGCGCGCGTTCGATTCCAAACTTGGCCTTATGTAAAACCTTTTCGGGGGTCTCAAATGTGTTGAAAATTTCGATCCGGGACCGCCAAAATCTTATATTTTCGATTCAACTTGTCGAGGTCTACATCCCAGATTTTTTGTGGATTTTTAGTCAAATTTTCCAAATGTTCAATTTTTCGATATTCTCGAGTATGAGATTTTTGATGTTTCTTCGGGCATCTTCGAAAATTAGCGAAAGAGGTCACTTTTTACTGTTACGTGTTCTCGACCTTTCATGACCCTAGAGTACGAAGAAACAGGTGTCCCGTTTTCGTCAGTCTGTCCGTCTGTCTGCCGTCGCGGATTTTTATTAGACAGGTAATCTCCGGAAGTACTACTAATTTAAATTTGAATCTGCCAAACTGAATGATTTTAAATGTATGGTAAACATAATAACTTTTTTCGCTTAACCCCTCCAAAAAATTGATGACGTCATTTCAAAATTTACTATACTACTATCTAAAATATGCAAAATATGGTCAGTCTGTACTTGTAATTTATCACTGCATTCATATTTTTTAGATATGCTTAAACAGGGTAACTCAAAAAATTAATGACTGAGTTGTTAAAAAATAAGCATCCAACCAGATTTAGCAATTTAACTCGTTACTATGGACATTTGCAATTTAAAACCTTTTAAATTTAACACGTTTTTACAGTTTTAATAGGGGCGAAATCAGTCTTATCTTAGCCAGTGCTAGCCCCGCCCACCCACCCCCTATTTTCTCAGAGGATATGTCATTTGTCAAAATAAGTTTTACTTTAGTAAGTACTAGTCCGGCGCACCCGCCCTCTAATTTCTCAGAAGGTATGACGTTCGTCAAAATCAATCTTATCTGAGCAAGTACTAGCCCCGCCCACCCACCCCTATTTTCTCAGAGGATATGTGATTTGCCAAAATAAGATTTATCTTAGCAGGTACTAGCAAGTACTAGCCTCTGAGAAAACAACTTACTTGCTAACATAAATGTTATTTTGGCAAATTACATATCCTCTGAGAAAACAGGGGGTGGGTGGGCGGGGCCAGTACTTGGTAAGATAAAACTGAACTTGGCAAATGACATCGCCTTTAAGAAAGTAAAGGGTGGGTGGGCGGGGTGATTACTTGCTAAGATAAGACTTATTTTGACAAATGACATATCCTCTGAGAAAACAGGGGGTGGGTGGGCGGGGTTAGTACTTGGTAAGATAAGACTGATTTTGGCAAATGACAGCCTCTAAGAAAGTAAAGAGTGAGTGGGCGGGGTTACTACTTGCTAAGATAAGATTTATTTCGGCAAATGTGGATATGTTTCAGTGTAAGGGAAGTTTTGTCGAAACAGCTTTCAACCAAGTTTTTTTTAATGTGAAACCTTCTCAGGGGTCCCAACTGTCTTTTTTAAAAACGTAAAATCTTCTCGGGGGCCCCAAATGTCGTTTTTTAATGTGAAACCTTCTCGGGGACCTAAACTGTCTTCTTCGAAAATGTAAAACCTTCTCGGAGACCCCAATTTTTTTTTTTTTAATGTAAAACCTCGGGGGTCTCAGACGTTTTTTTTTTTTAACGAAACCTTCTCGGGGTTTCCAACCGTCTGTTTTAAAAATGTAAAACCTTTTCAGGGCCCTCAAGTGTATTTTATTTTTTAATGCGAAACTTTCTCGGGGGCCAAAACTGTCTTCTTCCATGGTATAAAACCTTCTCGGGGGCTCCAATTGTTTTTTTTTTTTTTTAGAAATTTGAAACCTTCTCGGGATTCCCAACCGTCTTTTTTAAAAATGTAAAACCTTCTCAGGGGCCTCAAGTGTACTTTATTTATTAATGCGAAACTTTCTCGGGGGCCAAAACTGTCTTCTTCGATAGTGTAAAACCTTCTCGGGGGCTCCAATTGTTTGTTTTTTTTTTTAGAAATTTGAAACCTTCTCGGGATTCCCCACCGTCTTTTTTAAAAATGTAAAACCTTCTCGAGGGCCAAAATTGTCTTCTTCGAAAATGTAAAACCTTCTCGGAGGCCCCAATTTTTTTTTTATGTAAACCCTTCTCTGGGGTCTCAGACGTATTTTTTTTTAATGAAACCTTCTCGGGGTTCCCAACCATCTGTTTCAAAAACGTAAAACCTTGTCAGGAGCCTCAAATGTATTTTATTTTTTAATGCGAAACCTTCTCGGGGGCCAAAACTGTCTTCTACGAAAGTGTAAAACCTTCTCGGGGGATCCAATTGTTTTTTTTTTTTTTAGAAATTTGAAACCTTCTCGGGATTCCCAACCGTCTTTTTTAAAAATGTAAAACCTTCTCGGGGGCCAAAACTGTCTTCTACGAAAGTGTAAAACCTTCTCGGGGGATCCAATTGTTTTTTTTTTTTTAGAAATTTGAAACCTTCTCAGGATTCCCAACCGTCTTTTTTAAAAATGTATAACCTTCTCGGGCGCCAAAATTGTCTTCTTCGAAAATGCAAAACCTTCTCGAAGGCCCCAATTTTTTTTTTTTTTTTTAATGTAAACCCTTCTCGGGGGTCTCAGACGTATTTTTTTTTTAATGAAACCTTCTCGGGGTTTCCAACCGTCTGTTTTAAAAATGTAAAACCTTCTCGGGGGCCTTAAAGGTATTTTATTTTTTAATGCGAAACCTTCTCGGGGACCTAAACTGTCTTCTTCGAAAATGTAAAACCTTCTCGTAGGCCCCAATTTTTTTTTTTTTTATGTAATCCTTCTCGGGGGTCCCAAAACCTATTTTTTTTTAATGAAACCTTCTCGGGGTTTCCAACCGTCTGTTTTAAAAATGTAAAACCTTCTCAGGGGTCTCAAGTGTATTTTATTTTTTAATGCGAAACTTTCTCGGGGGCCAAAACTGTCTTCTTCGATAGTGTAAAACCTTCTCGGGGGCTCCAATTGTTTGTTTTTTTTTTTAGAAATTTGAAACCTTCTCGGGATTCCCCACCGTCTTTTTTAAAAATGTAAAACCTTCTCGAGGGCCAAAATTGTCTTCTTCGAAAATGTAAAACCTTCTCGGAGGCCCCAATTTTTTTTTTATGTAAACCCTTCTCGGGGGTCTCAGAC